GAGCACAGCATTCTCTGATTTCCCGTTGTGCTGTAATCCTAGCCCTTAGCTCGTCCAGTTTGTTTTCCAGAGACTGTACGTTAGCTAGGAAGAGGCTGGGTAATGGCGGTCAAGTAGCACAAGCTTTTAGCCTAGCATGGAGTCCTCCTCGCCTGCCCCGCTTGCGTCTCCGTCTCCGGGTCGCTCTCCTGATTTCAGCCTGCTCGCTTGTGCCTGGTGCTCCGGAGGCTCCCCGTGGGCGATGGTGGCTTTCCTCGCCACTGTTATTGTTGCCGGAGCAAACAATGAGTTGTAGCTCCGGTGGTATGAAACCAGTAAATTCCCAGTGGCTTTGTGAGTTGGCGATGTCCAGCAATGCCTGTCTGTTGTATGTAAGCAGTGTATGACATTTGTGCACTGCAGAAAAAGGAAAAAGCAAAAAACACACAAAAAGAAGAAAACGAAGAAAAAAACCGGCATTCAAGAGTGGAACACGCAAACACGTTCGCCTCGGTGGGCGCCATGTTGTGTCTATTTATTTTATTTATTTTATTTATTTCTCACACATTGTTTCATAGACCCTCAGTGACTGCAACAGTACACTTGGTTAACATCAGAAGATGATGATGATTATTTCTGGAATATCTGGTAAAATACAGTAGCTACAGTATATCATCCTCCTGTCCTGCCATCAGTCAGGCTAAAGTAGTGGATACCCAAATCAAGCCGAGGGTTTGGGTTGGGTTCAGACACATGGGTCAAATGTTAGTGTAGATGGTTGGAGAAAAATAATTGTTAGTTGTGGCCTTGGTTTTAATTGTTTAACTTATCACTGAAAGATTTAGGTTGCCAGTGCCTTTGGATAAGACAGACCAGCTGGTGGCAGTTCAAGTGGGTGTAAACTGTGAGATTTGTATGTACGTTAGCAGATGCTGCTAACTCACCGAGCCCCAATAGACTCATTGTTCAGTTGAAGAAAACAATATGTGAATGTTTCTGTTGTCACAGGCATGTCTCCATGAGAATACCAATGCTTTCTTCCAAGTTGGGAGGTGCACCTCACATTAAATCACACCAGAAAAATATTTGCATGCATTTAGAAGAAACCCATGTTTTTGGGTGACCTGAGCCTTTCATACTGAGCTTTAATGAAATGTACACCAGTTTGTTGCATCATCTCATAAATTAGCTCAACACCCTTTGACACAGAATGCCATTGAATGAATCCCAGATGAGCTGACATTTTCCTCCACTCTGATCCCATGTGTAGTTGAAGAAATCGGATATGCTCATCTCAACCCATGTCAGAATTCTTGGCCTCTCCCACTGCTCTGTCTCGAAACCAAAAGGCTTTGCCAATTTGGACTCAGAGCAGAGAAGCAGTGGATCCCCCTGCCTTAGCCTGTTATTGTTGCCGGAGCAAACAATGAGTTGTAGCTCCGGTGGTATGAAACCAGTAAATTCCCAGTGGCTTTGTGAGTTGGCGATGTCCAGCAATGCCTGTCTGTTGTATGTAAGCAGTGTATGACATTTGTGCACTGCAGAAAAAGGAAAAAGCAAAAAACACACAAAAAGAAGAAAACGAAGAAAAAAACCGGCATTCAAGAGTGGAACACGCAAACACGTTCGCCTCGGTGGGCGCCATGTTGCATCTATTTATTTTATTTATTTTATTTATTTCTCACACATTGTTTCATAGACCGTCAGTGACTGCAACAGTACACTTGGTTAACATCAGAAGATGATGATGATTATTTCTGGAATATCTGGTAAAATACAGTAGCTACAGTATATCATCCTCCTGTCCTGCCATCAGTCAGGCTAAAGTAGTGGATACCCAAATCAAGCCGAGGGTTTGGGTTGGGTTCAGACACATGGGTCAAATGTTAGTGTAGATGGTTGGAGAAAAATAATTGTTAGTTGTGGCCTTGGTTTTAATTGTTTAACTTATCACTGAAAGATTTAGGTTGCCAGTGCCTTTGGATAAGACAGACCAGCTGGTGGCAGTTCAAGTGGGTATAAACTGTGAGATTTGTATGTACGTTAGCAGATGCTGCTAACTCACCGAGCCCCAATAGACTCCTTGTTCAGTTGAAGAAAACAATATGTGAATGTTTCTGTTGTCACAGGCATGTCTCCATGAGAATACCAATGCTTTCTTCCAAGTTGGGAGGTGCACCTCACATTAAATCACACCAGAAAAATATTTGCATGCATTTAGAAGAAACCCATGTTTTTGGGTGACCTGAGCCTTTCATACTGAGCTTTAATGAAATGTACACCAGTTTGTTGCATCATCTCATAAATTAGCTCAACACCCTTTGACACAGAATGCCATTGAATGAATCCCAGATGAGCTGACATTTTCCTCCACTCTGATCCCATGTGTAGTTGAAGAAATCGGATATGCTCATCTCAACCCATGTCAGAATTCTTGGCCTCTCCCACTGCTCTGTCTCGAAACCAAAAGGCTTTGCCAATTTGGACTCAGAGCAGAGAAGCAGTGGATCCCCCTGCCTTAGCTAGTGAATATAAATGTGTATATATATATATTTATATGGAGTAGGTCCTTTCCTGGCCCAGCCCTTAGGCTTGGCTCAGTGACTTTTGTGTCGCCCCAAAGCCCAAAGAGCATGCCTCATAGACGGCATCATTTTCTGCTTGGCTGACTGGGCCACACACCCACACCTAGCTCTTCAAATCAATGGGGAATGCACACCCAGCTGCTACATGATCCCATATTAATCTATTTGACCTATATTTTGAGTTTCATGCTAATATTTTTCTTAACTCACTGGCAGGTCAACTGACAGTAAATAGAAGAAGACATCCTTTATGAATCACCAGTATCCACTGGGAATGTATATAGCTTAAAAGTTTGTTTTCTAGTCTAGTTTTTGTTTCATTTGTTCATTTTATAGTTGTATGTGAAGGCCTTCATCTTTGAAGGGTGACAGTTGGCATGTTCTGGATGACGTGTACTAAAATATTGGTGACATTAGCGCAGATAAACCACACAGTTTACTATGTGGATTAAATATGTTACCACATCTGAGCAGACAACACAGACTGTCAAAAGTTCTGAGGGACTGTGGTTAGCATGCAGTCAGGGTAAAAAAAAAAACAGCGTCAAGGTTTTACAGCTATTTTCTTGGCCCCAGACATTGATGTTTCTGAGTCCCAAGGGTCCCATGAAATGACTTGGCTTCACTGGAACACTCATGAAATCTCCCAAATGGGCATAAAAGGCGTCTGGATGTGTTCGAGATGGAGCAGTGAGTGAGTAGGCAGGGACGATGATGGCATCAAGTTTCAGATGTGCTGAAGTTGTAAGTGGTCACATTTCCAGAGAGAGCTCTTTGTGATCTATGTGTTCACCAAGTTTTCCAGGATGAGCACCACAAACTTGACAGACCTCAGCTGTGTGCATTTTTACTCCCGCTTGGCATATATTAAAGCCCACCTCTCCTGCTCCTCATCTGGTGCAGATTATTATCTGGAGACAAATTTCACCTCCAAAACAGGGTTTAGAACAGTGGGCTTCACAGACTGCTGAAAGAAAGCCGGGTTGATGCTACAAAAAAGGGAAAACTACTAAACCTTTAGTAAGCAGGTTATCACGTTCGCGCTGTGGCTCATGAGGTAGGGCAGTCGTCTCCTGACCAGCAAGTTGGTGGTTCGACTCCCGGTCTCCCCACATGCCTAAGTGTCCCTGAGCAAGACACTGAACCCCGAATTGCTCCCGGTGGCTTGATTAGCGCCGTTGTGTGGCAGCTGTCGTCATCGGTGTGTGAATGTGTGTGTGAATGGGTGAATGGTGGTATGATCTCCCTGCAAAGCGCTTTGGAAAAAAGCGCTATATAAATACAGTCCATTTACCATTTACCATAACATGCAGTATTGAAATTCTCAGGGGCAGTTTTATGATCAGTACTCACCTTGGGACAGCTGTTTTCTTTATAAATTGGACAATAAGAAAAACAAGTTAAGTTGGCTCAAAGTGCACAAAATGGTGACGACATTAACAGCACATTTTTTTTTTTTTTTTTTTTTTGCTCTACAGGCCTACACCAGCCAGTTTGTGGCCCTGATCATGTTTGCACTGTTGATGTGTGACGATAGGATTTCCATGCAGGCCAGACGCCGTGAGATAATCCAGGGCCTGAGAGTACTTCCAGGTAAATCAAGCCACAAGTATTCTGGTTCATCTGTGACAATGCTGGTCACATATGAGATTAACATGTGGAGGAATAGAAAACAAGCTTTCAGAGCAAAGATTAAATATATCCAAAGCCTGTTTGATTTCTGTCATCTGTTCATCCTCTTGGAAGAAAAAGTTAAGTGATGGGAAAGGAAGGGGAGAGTGGGGTCAGCTGTTGGCCACAGGCCCTTACGTGTTTCTCTGAATCTAAAGCATATGATTGCATGTCTCTAATTGTAAACTAATGAGCAATGTCTGGCCACTCTGCTGCTCCATGCCCAGCATTAAGAGATTCAGTCCAGGTTACAGCATGGTGTTTTTACACCATACTTTAGTCATGATGACACAAGTTTTGTTGCTTCTATTTTTCAAAAATATCCTCAAATGTATTGTTTTTTTTTTTTTTTCTTTCATGCCTGCATTAGATTTGATTAAAGAGGTCCTCAGTTTGGATGATGAGATCCAGAAGTTGGCGACGGAGCTGTACCAGCAGAAAAGCGTACTGATCATGGGCAGAGGCTACCATTATGCTACTTGCCTGGAAGGAGCATTGGTGAGCAAATCCAGCCTTCTTCTCTGCTAGTTTTCTTTCTTTTCTGACTTGAGCATCTAAACTGATCTTATTTTATATATAGAGTGCCTCCTGAGGGCTTCAAACTAATGCCAAACTACAAGAACTCTTATGTTTTGGATTTCTCTAATGAGTTACAGGTAGTCGTCTCTGACTGTACTTCTTGCTCCTTTTTTGTTAAATAATATACATGCAAAGCAAAGTCTTTGAAAAGTCATGTGAGGACAGAGATGCACTGAGCTCCAATGTTTTAAATGCACTTAGCTCACAATATGAGAGTTCATGAGATGAGACGATATTTTAATGCTGTTTTTAAGAAATTTTCAATGACAAAATATATGACAGGAAAAATTGTTATTCAGTTGAAAGTTGAAATGCAAAACAATGCAGATGCATTTTGAAATATTTTAACCATCTTGCAGTGACTGTCACTTCAGTTCTGCTTTCTGAGTATGAATTATCATATGTAGTAACAGACAGCCATATGCAAGCACTGTGAAAGGTTTTGCCTCAGACTCAACTGGCTTCTCTCCTGTATGGTTTCACATGAGTCTCTTCTGACCTTGTAACTGTGCAAGAGCTTCTAACTTCTAATTGAAGCTGTGTGTGACTTTCTATGCCATTTTCACCCACGCTGCACCGGACAGTGATATTATCTGGCAAAAGCGCTGCGTTGACCAATCGTGCACAGGGGCTGATCAGAACATGGATGCCTCCAGGGAGCATTCACTGCTGCTCACTGTCGAATTTGGGCCACAGTTAACCCACCATAACGACATGCATTGCATTTTCGTTAGTACTGAATATTGAACTGTGTTTTTATCTATCAATGCCAAGACACTGCTGGTAGAATTGATACTAAGTTAGCAACATAGCTAAACAAAACACAACAAACTCGCACACTGGAAACATGAAGGAAGCCACTACACGCCTACAACACTCCCCCTGCAACCCCTCATCCCCTGACATTACGCAGCCCCGTATGTTAAAACGTTGTTTTTGCCGGACTAATGTGAGCGTATCGTCACTTTGCCATAATGCTGGCTTCTGCTCTGGTTCTGTTACAGTATGCACTCGTATTGCGAGACAGCTTTTGCCTCAGTGAGAAAAATAGTCACGTTTTAATATAATGTTGTGAGATCTCATGGCACTAGACTCGTCACACCCCTAGTTTTGAGTTGTAAACCATAATGGCTGCTGCATACACTTAGATTTGTTTTACCTGTGCTCCTTGTCCTGTGTAGAAAATCAAGGAGATCACATACATGCATTCAGAAGGCATCCTGGCCGGAGAATTGAAACATGGTCCGCTGGCCCTGGTGGATAAACTCATGCCGGTCATCATGATCATCATGAGAGACCACACTTACGTCAAATGTCAGAATGCCTTGCAGCAAGTTGTCGCCCGCCAGGTAAGATCTGTACACCCACACACTGAAGACATTTTATGCAACTGTTATTTACCACATCCTTACTGTAGGTTAATTTTCAGAGTCCTGTCTGTGCCACATCTCTGATCCCTCACCTCAGTAAATACAGGGGAGGGGCTGATTCAGCATGATGTCATTGCTGTCGGTAATCTGCAACAGATGTAGGCTTAGGAGGTGGGAGTCGCAGCCTTTTTGCGACTGGTTCCAGATTTACGATTTTATCAGAAGGTAATATACTGGACATTGCTTTTACAGGGCCGTCCTATTGTAATTTGTGACAAAGATGATTACGAGACCATCAAGAACTCCAGCCGTACGATCAAAGTGCCACACTGTGTGGACTGTCTGCAGGGCATCCTGAGCGTCATCCCACTGCAGCTGCTGTCCTTCCACCTGGCTGTCCTCCGAGGTTACGATGTAAGTGCTGCCCCTTCAGCAGTGACGTGCAGTGAGGTTGACAGCTGGTGAGGCACCAACTCTTTTACAGTCAGATTTACAAATACAAATTGTCTGTTAACAGACAATGCGTTGTGTTTTATATCTCATATCAGCATTCTTCACACAAACGTGACCCATATTTAATTTGAGGTTAAAATTTATTCCAATTGAGCTTATTTCTAGCTAGAAATAATAAAAGTTTATGGTCTTACCTTTACTTGTACACGAAATCCATTTGTCAGCTGGTATGTATTACAAACCCTTTTACCGTTCGAATCCAATATTAAAACAAATGTTTTCAATAAAGAAGATCCTTCTGGACAAAAATGTCCAGACTGTC